TTAGTATATTTGATGGCTCATAAAAAGTTCAGATGTTTGATGCAAAGGGTGTGTACTAAATAGATGCTACAAGAAAACTAACCCTGTCGTTGATAGTCTCTAGAACAAAGGCGCATTTAACTTTAGTATGACCCATTATTGTTTTACACAAATTTTTCATGTAAAACAAGTGATTTTGTGTGTGTGGGTATACGTGGACATGCATATTTTATTTTCTGTCCATTTGGGATAGTTTATCATATTATGAAACAAACAAGCAAAGACAGAATCATAAATCGCTATAAAAATCAGACCAAAAATAATAATAATAAACAAACCTGAAGATAACTGACTATATCCATTGTTGTAACTCTTGAGCCTCCTTCTTGTTGTCTACTGATCCACTGATAAATTTTATCCTGAAAAAACATATTTAACCAAGGTTCCATCAATAAAATGTAAAAATGTAGTCCAATTTGAAAGAAATTTTACACATTAACAGGACAAGTAATGTATGTACAAGATTTTAAACAAGGATATAAGGCATTTGCAGAAACTTTGTAGACCCATTGCCTAATTGGCTACAAGCTACAGAAAGTGAATGAAATTTTGAACAGGGAAGCATGAGAAACCCCGCACCCTCAACGAACTAATGGAAAATAACATATTTAACAAATTTTTTAAATTCAGAAAAAGCCACACACAAGCCTAGGCTGGTTTCAGCCAGTTCACGAGAGACCTTTCCAGAAATATGCAAGGAGGAAGAAAATATTAAAGGCAAATCCATGTACCAAAAAGATAACTGTCAGAGAAAGGATAGGGGTTCAACATATACAAAAATAGTGGAGTCCAACTTACTAGAGAGTAGAGACATACCCCTTCTTTTAAAAGAAAAGGGCCAAATCAATCAGTTGGAGAAAAGAATGGAACAAATCATTGAGTACTGAAGACCAAATACAAACCCGTAAAGATATCAAAGTTTAGAAATATTTCCCACTTGAAGTTCTATGCCAAACAGCATCAGAATAGCAGCAAGAGTGAAGAAAATTTAGTGACTTTAAATCCAACTAAAGGAAATATCTTTTGTTTACATGGTGATAAGAATCAATCATGTTATCTAATATTTAGGGTTTTTAAAGATATAAACATCCAATTTAATCATAAACTAAAACAATGCATGAATAATTGGAACTCCCCACTAATTATCTAAACACTTTGCACAAGTTGAATATTGATATTCATTACATTACCGACAGATACTAATGAGAAATTTGGGCATTTCTTATCCAACCAACTTCATATGACATGCTCACTCGAACTAATATTCACCCAATTCATAACCAAACAAAACACACACCAACTCATGAACCACAAAATATACGAATCCCCAAATTTCTAACAATTTGGAAAAAAAGCGACCAACTTTAATTTGATCTTGATTAAGAATCAAGAACTGAATGAGGGAATCTGCGATTAGATTAACAACTATCAATTAAGAAGATGATAAAGGAGAGAGAGAGACGTACGAGGGCGTGGCGTTCACCGGCTTGAAAGGAGAGCTTTTGGTGGTTCATGGCCTGAGTGTAGAGCTGAGAGAGAGAATTAGCGGCGCTGCAGAAGGAGGTGTACATGCTTCGATCCACCTCGTCGAGGCTGGTGGCTATGGACTTTCTCTTCTTCCCCATGGCTAAGGCTCTGGGAATCTTCTGATGATATCAGAAGAAGAAGAAACCAGCAAAAGGGTTTGTTGTCTCCCTCTTCGTGTGTGAGGGATTTCTGGTCTGATCAATTGATAAGAGGAAGAGAGTGAATTTATATCCCAAAAGGAGAAGAAGAGGGTTATAGCGTTATGGATTGGAATTGGGAAATTGGGAAATTGGGCTTTTTGTTTTGCTACATACACACGTATATATTTTATCAGAGGGCAGCACCAAGGTTTTCAGAAGAGGGAAGGACACATGGTTACTGTCGTGGCAATTCGTCCCACGTGAACATTGCTTCCATACCCAAAACTGTTACTTATACACTCTATCTTTTTTATTTCTTTTTTTTTCTTCTTTTATTTTTCCCAAAAGTAACCAAAAAAAAAATTACAAGAGGTTCCTTGAGGTTTAGTCGAATTAGAAGGTAATCCTTCTATTTTTGGAAATTACATTAAGAATTAGTCCTTTACAAAAAATAAAAATAAAAAATCATCAAACAAGGACTTATTATCAGTGCCGTTTCAACCCATAATACGTAGGGCACAAGAACAGGACCCAACAATCTTAACGGCACAAATTTTTTTGAACTTATCCATATATATAGGAAATTTTTTATAAAAAATTATATTTCTCTAAAGGTGTGATTAGGGGTGGGCATGGGTTGAGTTGGGTCGGTTTTGGTTACAACTCGTAACCTAATCCGTACATAGCAGTTTATGATTTTTTGAATACAAGATAATTTCATTATTAAGCCAACCCAACTCAACCCAACACTCTAATAATCAGGTTCGGCGGTTCGATTGGCTTGACTTGAAATTGTGCATACCCCTAGATGTGATAGCATCAATCGTTGTCAAGTTGACTCCTGAGTTCTCTTTGGTTTTTTTTTAAAACAAATTTAACTTAGTTAATTTAAATAATGACTATTTTATAATTATTTATACGCTCTTTATCACATCTCAACTCCATTTTGAATCACCTCTGTCTTTATTCTCTCAACTCCTGCTCCCTCATCATCGCCACTCCATTTCACCTTTTTATGTCCCTTAATTGTGAAATTCATCTTCATTTTTTTTCCCTATTAAAATTAGGGAGAGTGGGTCACACCTTCTAATCTCCTCCATCTTCCTCTTCTTTTTTGTCAGTCATCATTTTTTATATGGGTTCTTCATATTTTGATGGTTAAAATGATGTGTATAAACAAAAATGGAGATACTGAGTCTGAAATTTTGGGATTATTCAGAGTTTCTTTGGTTGAAAATTTTGATGATTGTAATTATAAAAATATTAGTTGACGGGAAAAACCAACACATTTGAGTTGTGTCTCTAGTTATTAAATATAAAGAACTGAATGTGTTATAGTCTGGTTTGAGGGATTAAGATAGGGAGGCCAAGGGATTGTGGTTACTATTTATACCTTCGTTATGGGTCTTATAACACACTTCTATAGTCGACAACAACAACTAAGATCATCACAAGAGGACTTCGTGTCCTTAGCATAACCTCTCCAAGAACAAATCAAGAATCCAAAATGAGTCACAGACCCTCAAACCAAAGTAAACATCAAATTTTAGTCACCTTAGGCATAATGGGCATACGAGAGCATAATCTAGTTGTTGGCTTCTTTTTCCGATCGGGAGGGCAGAGACCATCCCAACACTGATGCCCCAAGTGCTCTTATGAGTCAGCACTGATGGTTCTTGGCAGTGAGTGATCTTCCAACTAGACCCAATTGAAAGTTGGATCAAGCTTGAATGAGAGAGACCGGCCCGACCCTCTCTTAGGGGCCGAAAATCTGGCTAGTCTTCTGAGTTTGTTGGATTGTGTAGGTGTGCCACTATTGGAATCAAGGATGACCCAATAGAATTATGATGAGTGTATGCTTGTTTGATTGTATACTGGATTTTGCGCTGATCTTGACCTCTAATTAAGCCATTTTGCTCCGAGGGGGGTACTGGCATAGACTTCAACACCTGTTGGAAAATGATTTGAATGCTTCGCATCATTTCCCTTCATCATAACCAATTTTCATTTCTGTGAACTTGTGAGATTAGTAAAATTTCCTTAAACAAAAACCCTTCTTTGATTTTCATTCTGGGTGGCAAATTTTCAACAATGGCTCCAAGAAACAGAAGTCGAAGAAACAAGTAGCACCCGTTGAGGACGTTCCCAACTAGATTTCAAGCGAAGGAGTTAAAGGACAAGTTGCAAAATTTCAATTTGTTCTTCGGAC